CCCTAGATCAGGGGTCTCCAGCCCTGGTCTCTTGAGAGCCCCAGTCCAGTTAGTCTTATAGGTTAGCCATTTCTCAACATTGGAAACAATTTTGTGACATTGATAGAGCAATCTGCTCAATGAACAGAAGTCTGATCTGTGGAGACTGAAACAGGCTGAGTTGGTGATCTCACATGATCTCTACGTTATTTTAACAGTTCATTTTTTTAAAACTTCTCAGTCATGGTAGAATTTTTCCAAATTCTTGGAAATTGATCATGTAGTAGTGATCTGTAAAACCTGCTGGACAGGGCGTTCCTCAGGAACAGGAACTGTCCTAGATTCATACGTGCTCCACTGTTGTCAATCAATGCTTATGCTTTTGACAGCTTTAAAATAAGGGACAGTCATTATGTATTAAGGAGCTGTTAATTGAGCAGGAATAAACAGTATTAATTTTGTAATGGAGCCAAAAACTAAACTAGTCAAAAACAAAAAGTATATGTCCATGCCAGTGAAGAGACCCATCCCTTGATGAGCGTTGTCAAGCAGTATTTCAGTTTGTTTGATGTGTGATCACTGTAGAGGCCCAGGATTAATGAAGGCACTGCATCATCAAATCAGCGGTGAGCTGTAATATTTGTATTTGAGTTCAGCAGCTTCTCCTCTTCCTGTGGCATCAGGTCCGAGGTCCTTCCCGAACAAATGCTAATGTGATAGTGGATGACCTGCTGACCCCCTGCTCTCCTGGTGACCCCGACGCCATCGAAATGACCTGGATGGACGTTCCCAGCGATAAACTGCTGGAACCTGTCGTCTGCATGGTACGACCTTAGATACCATTATTAGCACCGATCACGGCCAGTTTCTAGCGGTGGGGAGAGTGTCACCCACTTAAGCACCCATGACACTGACAAATGTGTTGAACCGCCGCCGAGTTTGTGTTGATATAGGTGGCACATTTTGTGACGGTTTTGTTTTGTTTTTCAGTCGGACATGCTGCGTTCCCTCGCCACCACCCGGCCTACTGTAAACACTGAAGACCTTCTGAAGGTCAGGAAGTTCACCGAGGACTTCGGCCAGGAGGGCTGAGCGAAGAGGGGGTTCACAGCGTGGTTTCGAAAGACAAATGACCTGCCCACAGCTGTCACCATCGCCACAACGCGTAATCCTACTGCTTTAACTACTAAGCCGATCGGCTGACTTCACTAACTCCGGTTGGTATGAAGAAGGAATTATTTATTTTGATTTAACAGTGTTCAAGTCATAAAGACTGTTTTGCCATCCAGCAATTCTGGAGGGGAAAGGTGGGGCAATTTATAATAAACGTGTTCATATTGACCCCTAAAAACCCATCAGTTTCAGACTGTTTCGAGTAGCTGTGCTCTCATCATAGAGCTCTGGTGAGTTAGGAGATGGAGAAGTCTTAGCAGGCCTCTGTTTTCATGTGCATGTGTTTAAATCATTGTTTTTGCAGAACTAAGTGACTTTTTGAGGTTCTTCAGAATGCAGATATTCCAGCCTGGTATAAGGTTTAAGTTAGAGATACTTTTACAAAGAAGGTTAATTTTAGTTTCCCTGTTCTGTGCAGTATCATCCTTGTCTTGGTTATTGTATACATTTTTATTTTTATTCATGACATCTCTTTAAACATACTCTTTAAACCAATCTCTATGCCAGTTAAAAACACTAAAACTGCTAATTACAGACAAGGCTCAAGTTCCCTTTTCACTTAAAATCACATGTGCTGAGTGTTGTCTCAGGCTCATCACTTCCTCAAGCAGTTTACAGGTGACATTGATCACTAATCCCAGCGCCAATTTAACTTGCATATCAGTCCGGAAATTTCCCTGGAGTGGCATAAACTGGATTTGCTGTGGCTGAGGGTTTATTTTCACCCAAATTTAAATGAGACATAGACAAATATTTATTTTTCACCAGAATGAAGATGCATGTGATGTACAATGTTTAAAGTCATTGTAGTGACTCACTATTGCTCTAATCTCAGAGGACATTGGATACGTTTTACTAAATTGGGGATCTAGTGAAGACAACATGACTAATTACCATTTAAAGACATGTCAAACTGATTTTAGTTTTACATTTTACAGTTATACCTTGTTAAGAAATATGGCAATGCCTTCATCAGTCGTGTTTGGCAGCTGTTGTGACATTGGATTATTAGAAGTTTGAATGTATATGTTGTCTGTGTTGCACTCACAGTGTACAGTATATGTGGTACTGTATACACTTACCTGCAGTGCAATAGCTACTTGCCACACTCAAATCTCAAATGACCTGTTGCAACCTGACCTGTAGTTGTAGTTAGCAGTAATATACATATTAATTCTGTGCATAGGAAAAGCGTTTGAACATATTATCCAGGGTTCATTGCAAAGTGTCACAGAGTTGCCAAGGCTGAGAAGGAATATTTTTTGTATCTGTGAAGAAAACAAAAAGTATCAATGTTGAATTTGTCAAAAGCCAGAAGTGGTTTAGATGCAGAAAATCTTACTGCAATGATTTGCATATATTCCCCCCCTCCTTCACTGAAAAGCAGCATGATTCTGTGTACTTGTTCAGCATTACATCTAAAACACGCAAAACCAGTTTCATGAGTGGAAGCCAGCAAGTACATGGTATAGCAGTAACTGAATAAATACAAATTATCCATAGTACAATCACAAAATCTCCAAAATGTAACAAGCCCAGCTGCTAATCACACCAAGTTCATTCATGAAGCTCGGTAATTATTTTTTCTGAACTAAATGAAAGCCCTTAATAGCAATTCAAGTAAAAAAAGAGTGACATGCACTCTTCTAGAAGCTAGGAAAATCTAGGCAAAGACTAGAACCATCCAGTTCCTTGATGGAATGGTTTACTGAAGTATTTAAAAGGCACTTAACATGTCAATTGTATAATTTAAAAATGCCCACTATTTTTTTTTGTCAGTGCACAGTGTGTACCTGACCAGCTCCTGAATTTTAGCTTGATAGAATCAGGTTTAACAGTGGAACAGCGTTCAAACGAAATATTAGAATGAACTGACTGAACAGGAAATAAGCTGTATGAAATCCCTTTCTGTCTTAGTAGTTGATGTTATTGAGGGGTGAACTGGTGAAATTGAATTTGGGAGGTAAATCTCATGTTCACATCTCTGTACTCCAAATATAACTGTACAAGTCTACTAACACCTGCTGTTTCTTTTGGTCTGTTCTGTATTGCATTGACAAACATTAGACAGGTAAAAATATTAAGACTAAGATACATTTGTTTGGCTGTAATAAATCTGATGACAAAGCAAATGATTTTTTTTTAATATGCAACATTGGTATTGCCTTCTGTTCTGTTATGTAGTTTATAGCTAATTGCTAAACTAATATGAAGAAATTATTTTCACGTAATATAGAAAGATAGATGGTGTAGAAGTCAAGATTAAGTTTTTTGAGCCCATGAATTCTGTTTGTACCTTTCATTTTAAAGATAAAATAGTAAAATGCATCACATTTAATTAAAAAAAAAACAGCAAATCCTCTTCAGGGAACCTTTTAATTTGGAGGTCTTGTTATGGAGCATTGTATACAAATTAACAATTTGTAACCATTTCACAAATTAGCTATAATGATTAGACTTCTACTTGTAGATTTCAGAAATCTTGCAATTACCATATGCTTTGAGCGGTATGGCTTTATTTAAAAATAACCACGGTTTTACAAAATACTCATGTACAGTATTACAAGTGCCAAATTGCAGTACACTGTATTTTCCTAGCACTCATTCAATAGAACTGATTGCTTAAAATATCTGAATTCATACAACTTCTCTCCTCCAAAATGAACTGCTAGCGTTATGCCTCAGCATAATTGTGTACATAAGAATGTAACACCTTCCTGTTTTTTTTTTCACTGAGCCTTCAAAGCATGACCCCATATATCTCTGTGCCTTAGCTCATGCATGGGTACATTAGGAATTGCATAACAGCTGACAGGTTATTAACTTTGGAGAAAATCTGAGATGAATTCAAGTAAGAATCAAACACTCAATTTGAGCACAGGAATAACAGGAATGCAGGTGTCAAGAAATGTATTTATCTCCAAAATAGTCCTCATTCATTTGCTTCCATCCATGCAACGTTATTGAAGGTTTTACTGTCCATCTTGTCAATGTACAGCACTCCATTCAAATGGTCCATTTCGTGCTGAATGATTCGCGCTGGCCAGCCACTGGTCTTCCAGGTCACAGGCTCTCCTCTCTCATTTAGACCTGGGAATACAGAGTAAAGACTTCATACAACAGTTTCTTCATTATTATTCTTTGTTGTCTAAACACTCTTGTAAATAGTAAATGCTTCACACATCTGACACTTTTCAAAGATGATGCCATCAAAGCATTGAAAAGGGCTTGCACAATTTTAAATTTTACTCATTGTAAAGGGATCCCAACAGTGCAATTACATTTTAATTGGATTCCAATTTCTCAATTGGTAAAATGTAACTGTGCCATTAAGGTGAGCCTAATCTCATATGAGCCACATTTAACACACTTAACATATTAAAATTAATATTTTGATTTTCTCAGGATTTCAGAGCCTTTTACTGTGATTGTAAAATTGATCTAACTGCTAGTTACACACACCCAGGGTGAAATCATGGTCTATTCACCTGTGAAATCATGAGTGAAGGACAGAGGCACCAGATCCACTCTTGAAAGACCAGAGCAATGACAGAGAGCCCAGCTCCCTTCCTCATGTGGGCTAGAGGTCAACCCTGCTCCAGCATGTCAGCTGGCACATCTGAAGGAAGCCTCTCAGTTCCACTGTAGAACTGGTGCGACCAACATGGATACCCTAAAGAAGGCAAAATGCCAGGGTCTGAGCTGGCCTGCATTTGCCGAACTAATAACTGATGCAGCAAATACAGAAGGCTGTAGGTTCAAACCACCAGGTGTGGACACAGCAGTGTACAGTAATACACGGGATTCAAGCATGAGCCAAATAAATCGGTCACTAAAGAGGTTATGCGTACCTGAAATTTCTACAGAGAGATACCTAGGAACACAAGCAGAGAAACCTGAAATGCTCTCGCAGCCCTCAAGGAAAGAGCTGGTTCTGGAGTCCAGGACCCGAACCCTGGGGTTCACGAAGACCCTCAGAGGAAAAGCAGACAGGCCCTTGGCCTCCCTCATGCCCTGGGGGTGGTCGGAGATCATGCGCTCGGTGAACTCGGCCGCCAGGATCTGCAGGGGAACCCCGATCTGGGGAGCGCTGAGCCCCACGCACTCCAGCCTCCGCATCACTGCCACCAAAGTCCGGATCACCCTCTGGATTTCTGGGCTGGCAATTTTGGCTGGGTCCACCTCCGACGCCATGGAGCGAAGGATTGGGTCGCCCACTTGGCAGACGTGTTGGTATGGAGGAGAGGGGGGCTTCAGGACTTTACGCTTGAGGTACTGCCAGTAGCTTCTCTGCTTGACGTGAGAGGAGTGCAGTCTTGTGTGGGCTACACAGGCCCTGTACGGCTGAGGGAACATTAACAAGCTTTTTGGGGAAGAACTCCTGAGAGCCAGATGAAATAACCTTGATGCAATCACTGGAGTCATCTTTGCATGGATTGGGGCTCAGCAAGCTGGAAATCAAAACAGTTATTTTATCATTTCAACTACTATTTTAACCACTCCATTAGGTGTCTTATTCAAATTTCAATAATCATTTTAAAGCATGGACAAACAGCTCATCTGGCCACTTCAAGAATACACAGAGTGCATCATGTTACTGCCTTTCTTCCCTGTAAGTGCTCTGCTCTTTACCTTGGTGAAACAGGAAAAAGACTGGCCAAGTGTTACATATCAGAGCACTGAGGTTCAGAAATCAAACCAAGCTGATGGTTTACCATTTTTCCTCTCAGCCATGATTAAACTGACTGTTCTGTCTACATTCTTTCACAGTGATTACAGGACTCTTAATACAGAAAGACATCAGAAGCCAGAAGTGTCCTTAAGATCACATCTTCCACCAGCCCTCAGAGACCTACTAATTTCTTCCCAAATCTCCCCATTCATACAAACTTCTGCCTTTCACACCTCCCATAGATCTCTTCTGCTAGATTTCCATCTCTTCAGACCCTATTCCTCCCCTCCTGCATTCTTACCCACCCCTTCGTGTCACACTCCTTACCTGTCTCTCATACCTGAAGGATTTGAATTTACAATCCTCCAGGTACAAATCCAGAACATAAACCATTACGTCATACTGCTGCCTTTATTTTTACAAATAGCCACCCCCTCTTAAAACTATTACTATTAATAACTGTGTTATGAGGACTAGGTTATGAGACCGAAATCAAATGAATCCTTTACACGTGTTTAGATGCTACAGAGATGTTATGCAAACTCTGAAATATTTTGCAGCATTATAAGTATCATACCTTATATACCTTTCAGACTATATATGTAAGTATTTCCAGTGTTCCTTACCGCTATTCATATTAAACACACAGTAGGTCAACCCTGCTAGGACAGGCAGCACTCAGGCTACCCAGGTTTAAGACCCAGCAACTGTTGTATTTCACCATTTTCAGTAGTTCTTTACCTCAGTGCTATTATGCAATCGCAGAAACTTGCTTACCGTTCTAATAAAAGGCCGTTTTTAACGTCACGTTGAATCGCACTGGCGATTCTGTTTCCTCACGCCGTGAAAATATGACTTGACTTATGTACCGTGCCCCGGTCGCGGAGCTTATGGCGTCATCAGAACGAGTCGCGAGTGGAGTGATGGATTTTGCGTGTTCACTCAGATAGCTAAGGCTACGTCAATAATAAGTTGCAGGCTGAAAGTAGTATTAATTATTAGTAGCTGAATTTTATTTATTTTTGTTCTATGATCTCTTTTTCCGAAAAAACAAAGAACTTTATTTCACAGAAAACAGCTTGACAGCATCTTCATTACATACCTGAAGAAGGCTACACTACCGGAATGTTGGGTTTTTCTTCTTTTTACTTTACAGCGTGGAATTAATCTCTACGTGTTCCTTTGCCACTGAAACTAGACGTAAGTTCCCACTCGACTCTTCATAGCATGGTGGCAAGCAGCCGATGTAACCATTTGCTTAAGATGTAGCGTTTCTGTGACGGACTCTTATTTCGGCGTTGGAAAAAACACGATGAGGCTCGGTAAAACTGTCTTAATTTTCTGCGCTTTTGGTACTGAAGAACTGCAGACCATTCTATTGCGACCCCCGTCCCATTTTCTTGGCTCAATCCATAAATTAGGGTCGGTGTTTCTCCAAAAAGGAGGACAAGTGCTGAAGTGCTGTGCGGAGATCAGGCAGGCAAAGGTCCCAGCAGACATCAAACAGACATCACAGTGGTTTATTTTTGAAATGCTCATGCGTTGTTCGTCATAGTCTTTGCTCTCCCGTAGAATATTGAATTTGATGAGTGGCATTAACTAATTAAATTATAATTCTTTGCAATATAAATGTAAATGCAGAACAAATCGGCGGGTGTACTTCCTACAGCAGGTGTGGCCAGACCTTGATGATAGTAATTATGACCTCAGTTTGACATGTCTTGTGAAGAACTGTACCGCACAGTGTCGCCGGTCACTGTACTGGGGCCTTGTTTTAAAAAGTCTGGTAAACAATCCCGCCTACAGGTCTGCCAACACCTCTTTCCAGCTGCAACCTGGTGTTCCTAAAAATGTTGCCCATCCAAACACTAAGCAGGCACATTCTCAAATCTTCAAACACGATAACCTGTTTGTTTTGACAACAGGTTCACCTGCATGGATTGTAACAAGATCTACAAAAGGCCTTTTATTGTTTCAAAGTGGTACATAAGGTCAGAATCATATACTGACAGCATTACCTTTTATTCAAGATTAGCAAACATGCTTTTTAGCAGTTTCTGAGCCCTGCTCAGTCCTGGAGACCAGTTTCCACCCAGAGGAAACCCACACAAATGCAGGGGGAACATTCAGACTTCACACAGATAGCAACCCAGGAATTGAACCCAGCGCTCTAGTACTGTAAGGCAGAAATGCTAGCCACAGCACCTCTGTGTCACCCAGATTTAACAGTCATGTGATTTAATTCTAGTACATACACAAATTAATGTCATTATTGGAGCTTTTTTGCATCTATCCCTGTATTTTTGCAAATGCAATGAATAGCAAAACAACATACAGTACAGTATTTTCACATATCAATAACTGACCAGTGCACAGAGATTTTCAAATTTCATTCTTGTTTTTGTATTGCAGTCATGCTTCTTGAAAAATACACAGTACTGTCCATTACATGATAGCCGTATATGAGTGGTAGATGAGTAAAGGTTAATGAGGAAGAGGAAAATTATGTTCCTGATGCATTGATTTGTGATGTTTTACTTCTTTTTCTTGAGGATGTTTTGTAAACATTTGGAATTCCTCCAAAGTGAAAGTACAACTGCCCATAGAGTGATAATTCAGATGCACTCTTTCTCCTGCAGTGTGGGAACAGTTTCACATGTTTCCAGTGATGGTTTGTGAGAGAGTTGGTAAGATTTCCTTTCCTCCTTGGCCTCATCTCTGTGAAACCCCCGGGGACGTCAGTGTTCAAAAGGATAGAAAGGATGTGACTTCAGCCTGTGTAGGACAGATGCAAACAGTCATGAAAGTCTTCATGCGAATCACCATGCATTCTTTCACACATTTACCAAGTGAAATAAATCATAGTGCAAAAATTTAAAAACAAAGAAAACAAAATGATTTCTCATGAACTGCTTTCTGATGTTTGGTCCTCTCCTCCTCTCTTTGTTTTTCTGATTTGTGCTGACCTTGGGTCTCTGTGTTGTACAGGCTTCTCTACTAATGCCCAGTGGGTAAGAATTTTATTTTCACCCATCATTCATGTCAATTTAAAAAAATACAGTATGTATAAACACAACTGATACCAAATTTAATAAATGTAAGAGTAAGAGTTGTTGATGTCCTGGTAATATACAATACTTCATGGGCCTTTCTTGTTGTACTTTCTGTTTTTTTTTTAATTTCTGATGCTATTACTCCATCACTTACAATGTTCATATTCACTTTAAGTAAATGTAATCACCAAATCCAATAAAAAGAGTGTGAAGGCTTTGAACCAATGTTGTACTAGGCAAACTAGCTCAATCTAGATTGCATTTCTTGGAAAGCTCTAGTTTATATGGTGTGTGTATAATTTATACACTTTTTAATATTTTTAAGGTATTTTTAAGGATGAGAATCTGTAAAAGCCAATAGGTCTGTTAAGTTTTTTGGATTGCACCATAACCCTGTTTTTGAAGTGAAGAAAACAGTTTATTATCAGCAATGACATTTCAAGTCTCATTCCTAAAAAAACATGCCGACAAATCTATCCCTTACGAATCAAAGACACACGCTTTCCAGCCTCTGTTTAGACTCTTCAAAGTCTTCATGTCTTTGTTGCTCAAATTGAAGTCAAAGATCTGGAAGAACAGTAAAAGACAGAGTTATATTGTGTAGAAGACCATGTGTCAACATACTGTAAACACTTAAGTAATTTTCATAGCCACCTCCTTTAAACTTGGTAATTCCCACCTCCTATTTACACTGTAGGTTATATTTTTTCCAACTGCTAACACTCTTAATTTTTCCATATCAGCTTCGCGTTGATAAAGTCCTGTAGTATCCATTTAAATCTTAAATTACTGTCTTTGTTACTTCCACAATATTAGCTGTAGCCCTATCTCAACTATCCAGTTTGCAATCCAAATACTGTACATGCATTGCCTTGGTTGCCTACAGCTATTCAAGAATTAATCGTCTATGTGAACTGTTACCAAAAGCATTATAAATATGCCATAGCATGTGTTTGCTTTATAGCTGTTGCTTGTCAAAGACCTCTAATTGGTCTATAATTACTTGGTTTAGTTTAGTCATTCTTTTCATATCAGCACTTTTATGGTTGGTGTTACCTCTGTCTAAGGTGACAGTTGTGTTTTGCTGATAACCAATAAGCTTAAGTTCCCGTTTCCTTCCGTACAGTTGATAATATGCATTTAAGCCCTGGAGATTAATCTAAGAATTAGCCGTTATTTCTGAGACAGTTTACTTGATGCTTTGCTGTTCTTTTGTTTTTGTAGTGGTGAAAAAAGATCTTAGTCTCCATCCCCATATTCTTTTCTGTCTCTCTTGGCTTACCTGGGATTTGTTTGGAGTTGTGCTGCCACTTAATTGAATTGTACTCTTTTCTTTAACTGGATGGTGACTGTTTGAATCTATAAGAAATATCTAAAGATTAAATCTTTATTTTTTTTTTATTCTTTAAAACACTTTTCTCATCATATGTTTTTGTAATTTATTAAAGTATTGTTTTCTAGTCTCATACTTCCTTTTGGAATTAATCTGTGCTGCAGTGGTTCCATATTTATCTCATTCTACATCTCTAAAAAGTATGTTTACCCTTTGTTTTGGACTCTTTCTGTACAGCTTTAAAATATACTTCAAAGAATAACATAGTAATCACAAGCTTGCTTGTTTTTTTTCCAACAACAAATGCAAAGACAACATTACCTTGGTGTTCTCTAAAATGTGGTTGGGTCTGATGCTCTTAGGAATAACTGCGATACCCTGCTGCACATGAAATCTTAGTAAGACCTGTAAAATGTTAATGTGAATTAATTTTGCATCGTATATACAGACAGATTTGATTGTGCTAGATCAGAGCATCTGAAATGTAAGCTAGAAAGACAAATAAAAACAAACAAACAGATGAAAACACTGAGCGATTGCTTTGAAACCAAAAGACAATGCAGACTTGTGAGCATCCCGTGAGACCGTTTACAAGGGTTTCCTTTGGCGGCCTCTAGTGGCAATCTGAGGTCCCTACAGCCTCTTCACAGGCCAGCCTGCCTCGTTCTTTAGGCCGCAAAAGCAAACCTGCCGATGTCTGTCTTGCATAGAGTAGCCGTGTAGAGGTGGTGTGTGTGCACTGAGATCCCGAAAGCCTGAGTTAGGATCCCGTCCGGGAATCTCTCTCAGCTGTTTCACTACATCTTGCATGTATTGCGCATGAGTGGCCAGAGCAGCTCTGTGCCTTTTGGCATTCGATCACTGTCTGTAGATTCTGAGTTTCACAAAGCCACTCAGGTGCTCTAAAAGGCCGGGTCTCCGGCTGTGGTTCCAAGGGGGGCATGACAGTGGCTTTGCTAGCAGGCACACTGCCCAGATGAGCCCTGCTGCACCTGGCATCTTCTTGAATTGACTCAGTAGCGGTGGGGTAATGAAAGAGACATCTCTCACCTGTGCTGAACTCTTTTGATATTTCTTGGCTATTGCTGCCACCACAGGATCTTCCAGGAGTTTCTCCGGGTCAGTGGCTCCCCTGTGACTGAAAGAAAATTTTATTTATACAAAAATAAAATACTGTAGCAGGCAGGCTGTCACCTTTAATCAAGTATAAGCTCCTGCAGGCAGGTTTAACCAGTGAAGTGCAAGCTCACAAGGAGTTTCAGTTCCAGCACACAAAGGAGGAGATGCAAACACATCAGTATCTAAAGAACATCTGTAAGGTCTGATGTTGACTGTTGAACAGAAGACTGAAACACATGACCACAGGCACGGAAGAAACTCTTGGCAAAAATTGAACAATCTCAGTTTGTTACAGGAACTCATTTTAAAAGCTCAGTGTTTGCTGAATTGCTTGTGTACAGTGAGCTCATGGAAATGTAATTTTAATGCTCTGTTCCTGTGATGTACACAATTTACACGCAATCTATCGTACATAACATCCCTTTATCTTTAAAATTGCAATCTTGTTTCAAACTGCAAAGTGAAAGAGCATTCACTGTCGGTAATACGAGCAGATGAGCAAGGAAGGAAATGCTTACACTTACAGTTCTTTGGGCCTCCCAGGAGAGCCGAAGGGGCTGTATGCAGTCAGGGCAATGTTTTTGGATTGACAGAACTTCACAAGGTCAGACTGGACCAGGTAAGGATGCAGCTCCACCTGTAAAAGAGCAACACAGGTACTCTTATTAAAGGCTGCAGATAGGACTTCATCCATTTGTTCCCAATGTACATCTCGGTCAGCCATGTCTTACAATTAACAGAAACAAAACCATTACTTAAGTCTCAGTTTACACATGTGTTTAGATCTTGAGTCATGTTTTTCAGAAAAAAAATACATTCTGGAGCTCCCTGTTAAATGATTTGGAAATGTATAGTCCTACGTCTCTCCTTCCCACAACACAAGTAAAGTTGTATGGAGAGAGTGCCCTACCTGATTGACAGCTGGTGGTATCTTAGCAGCAGAGAGCAGTCTCTCCAGCTGTTGTATGTTGAAGTTGGACACTCCAATGCTCTTTACTCGGCCTGAAGAGACCAGAGCCTCCATTGCCTGGAACAGACAATAAGGGCTCACTGAGTTACACAGGGCTCTCTCCGGACAATAACAAACGCTCAACACAGCCGAAAACATTACCAGCCTTACATCTCCAAGACCAGAGCTAATTTTATACATGGAAACACTAATACATCTCCATCTCTTTAACCAGAACTGACAAGTTTTCTTGGGAGATGTGATTCAGCTGTTTTAAATTCTAACATGAAATGAGAAATAAGTGGTAACAACTGTATGTATGTAATGACAAACACCTAGTTATCAAATGAAAATAAATGCAATTAGGAATTGAAAACATCCAACACAATTCTATCACCCGTTTATAACCTGGCCTGATTAAAATATTGGAGACGAGGAGTCTGGCAGTAACGTTTCTAGAGATTTAGCTAAGAACTTTTGTTTCACCTTCTAACACAACTGAAGAGTCTGACTTGTTAAGTCTATATTATATACATGTATATAATTATATTTCTTAGTGGCACTCGTGACAACACCACAAATACTGTCTTTGAGAACATTTTGGTTAAACTGCAAAGCTGCATCACACAGCCCTAGAGGGTTTGACAGGCTGGTCCAGTTGTTTGCAGGTGTTTCAATAGTCAGGAGCTCCCCTTGCAGGACATGGTCACCTCTGTGGAAGTTCCCTTAGTTATGCTCGTCTCTGTACCTTCCAGGTGTCAATGTAGTCTGTCTCTAGGGTGAGAATTTTGCCCTCCTTACACGGAAACAGCTCTTCGTCTATCCTCTGAAAAAAAAAGTCTATTTAGGATGTGCAGGTAAAGGAAATTATCTTCTTCATAAAACGGGGCACTTTGAAGGCCTGTGCTACAATTTAGGAAGATCACTTTGTCTGTTTTATTTCATTGTGCATTACACACTATAGAATACCACGGTGCTTGGGCATTGTTCATTACTGTCTTTTTAAAACAGTTCATAAGGCTCTTTACACACCTAGCTTGCTGATCTCCAAGCCCCTGTGTATTTGTAAATAGTGTTTTTTTTTTTATTTAGTGTGAATATGTATGCCAATTCTAAATGGAACTTCTGTTGAATTGGTGGGCGATCCATGTAATCCACATAAATGCACAGTTCATTAAGCCTGTTTCAGATTCCCTGTAATGCAAAGCCTTATTGACTTTGCTTCACTGTATATAAACAATGGATCCACCAGGTCAACAGGATTCACATTACATTCCGTTGCACTCCAGGGAGACCTGACAATGACAGGCTCATGTTAAATAAACTGCATTGCACAGAATAAAAAAAGGCCAATAAGACATTTGTACAGGATGAAGGGGGAGAAGAACATTGCCCTTTTTAACATATCTGGCTTTTGCTTAACAGACTTTGGCTTTCAATGAAGAGGTGGTAACACTCAACAGATCAAGTGTCACGAGCTCCAGGATCTTGTACATGTTGCAATCTTGAAGCAGAAAGACCATTTCTTAGCTCTATGTGTGTGTACTGTATGTGCAAATACAGTATGTTCAAAATAAGATTAATGCAAGGACCTAGTCAGAATGGATAAGTACTTGAAATGCGATGTTTGTTTTTATGCAGTAGCTTGCAACTTGGAATACTGCAAAAGGAATCATACTTGTGTTCCGATGTGGGGTTTAAATTTAGTACAGTATTTGGTTCTTAATGAGAAGGGAAATTCACAGCTGCTACCTTTTCTTCTCCAGTACCATAGTCCCTGTAGACACACACCAGTGCCTACCTGGAAGGCCACAGGGAAGTGAATGAGATAGAGGTCCACATAGTCCAGCTGCAGGTCTTGTAAGGACTTGTTGAGACACAAAGGCACGTCTTCGGGGGAATGATAGGTACACCACAGCTATGGAAAGAGAATGCAGAATCCATCATCACAATTCAGTGGAAACTCTACGCTTGGTGCTACTGAATTCTGAGTTTCAAAAAGACACTGGGGTGTCATTTTAACCACTGTGCTGTTCTCTCTCTCTTTCTGATGCTGAGAAAGAATTTGGTTCATGCTATTTGTCTCTTCTAGATCTGATCGCTGTGATTGTTGTATCCAGTGCTATGACTGTACATGTATGATAATCAGCTGTATTTTAACTAGATAGAAATGCTATCGGAATATACCAGCTCTAGCAGTTTTGCATTGGTTGCCTGTAAGCTTCAGTGGGTTCAGGTGGGGATCTCTGTCAGTGTGCACTGGTTGCGAAGGAACCAGTAAAGATTAATTCCACGGTGAAATGCAGAAATAAAACAAAGACGGGAAGAATTCACCTGAGGAAAGATTAAAAACCAAAAAGTTGTATCTTTTCCTTCCACTTTTCAGCTAGTAATTAACGTTTTCCGTGTGATTTTCAAAAATGACTTTCAGGTTTTACTGCCGACATGTAAACTCCCATACAATATGACTCCATATTAATTAGAAGATGTGTTTGCCATCTCTGATCTTTGGACTCTGCACTCCCATAAATTGGACTCCATTCTTTGTAGGCCAATACTGTATATTCTGCTGCTTCTCACCAAAATAATACAGTAGCTACCTCCTCCAAAGGCCATCACAATCTCTTAGACTGTTGGTACTTTCTTGTGCAATAAGACTTTGTAGGCTCACTGATTTCATTTTGTTTTACATTTTACAGTGTGCCGTTATGTTTGTTATGTCTGTTCTTTCTTACATCTGTTACACCATATCTGATTGACCCGAGGAAGGTCGTACTTTGCTGACGATAAACACGTCCTCGCGTTTGATGATTCCTTGGTGGATCTTGGCCCGCAAGGCCTTCCCCAGCTCAACCTCGTTCCCATAGGAGTAGGCAGTGTCGATGTGTCGGTATCCAGCCGCGATGGCTGCTTCTGCAGCTCCCTGAAGAACCTCTGCTGTGGTTGTCTGAAAGATAGTGGTGCCAACTTTGAGCTTGTTTCGCCTGTGTGTCATCACCTTCCCCTTTTCACCTCAGTGTAATCTCTTTCTTTCCATCTTTTAAAAAAGTTGAACACAAGGAAGTTTAAGATTAGGATCTGCAGGTGGGTTTTGTGTTTCCAACGCCCCCGTTGTTTTTTTTTTCCTGTAAATGAATGTGGTATGAATACATTACCTTAACAGATCTTCTCCTCGTATATTTACTGAGCTACTGAAGTTTTTCAGTGGCTGTGTTAGAGCAGTGCTCACATGATGAAGCTCCATATGTGATTATGGCAACAATATCTCCATATATAAATACAGTTGGTATAAATCCACAATGTAGGATCATGCAATAGCAACATGGTATATAACAGCGATTTTTCTTTATAGGGAGGGGGGTAAATTTTAAAAACCACCCATAGCAGTAGTTGCATTTTCTAGTGTCATAGGGGTCCAATTCTTCCGTTTTTACGTGCATGTCTATATAGCAAGGGCAGAAGCCATCTGATTATGGATTAAACAAATGAATATGGCTCTCTGATGTGACAACTGATAGGAAATCTTGAAATCACTTCCACCACATTCTAATCATACTGATTCAATGATAAACCTGTTGGAAACAATATTATCACAGGCACAATCTGTAAATACAGTTTAGTTTAAGGTTTAGCATACTGGCAAGTGGGATGTGTGAGTGATGAACACAGTATTACTGCAAGAAGGTTAACATCCTTTGAGTTGGGATGAAAGACATACCACTATGTATGCAGTCCATTCTTAAAGCTCATTATTAAATAACTGTATTCTTTTACAGCAGCACCTGCATGGGTCGTTGGGGAAAATGTTTTTGCTGAATTCAAAAGACCCCAAATTATTTATTCAAAAAAAAGGCTATACAGTTTTTCAGACCAATGTCATCCCAGGTTTATTTTCTGCAAGCAGTTGATCGGTTTTTATCTTGGGTGCTCAAGGCCGTGTTCATGTGAGGCTGCTCAAAGGTTGCTTCTTGCTGGAAGAGCAGCTGTAATAAAACTGGAAGGAAACCTCCTAGGAACGAGAGCAGGAGCAGGTGGCACAAGCAGCCGCAGAGGAACTCGACAGCGACAAGAAACAAACCTTCCACGTCCCCAGGCCCAGCAAGGGCATCAGCCTCCCATCGTTGAGCTTGATTTTGGCCTCCAAGGCGCTGGCCATCTGTGTGCTGAAGTGTCCCTAGTTTTCTGGGAAGAGAAGTAAGATGCGTGTTGATATCGGGCACCTCTGCTGAATTCTCCTGCGACCTTCTGAGACCTGTTGCACTTTTGCCCGGTTTTTCCTCTTCTTTCGCTAATCATTAAGTGAACTTTCCCTCTTAAAGGAGCAGTATTTTAAAAAAAAACAACGCGCGTATTTCCCTGCTCAGCAGAACGGAGAGGTGCACTGGAAAACGAAGACACAGCACTTTTAAAAAAAGGACATGGCTCTGCAGTTTAGCTTCCCCTCAATAATTTCCCTTAGCAAACCTCCCAGTTTTCCTGTAGTCCCTTTATTCTCCCCGCTGGGTGAGACTCAACTCCTGCTTAGCGTTTATTTTTTGTTTTGACTTTGTTTTTGAGTCAATAACTTTACTTTACTTTAATTAGTATCATTTTTGACCATGGTTGTATTTTGATGTGAAGAAAGACGGTACTGGTGTAGTATTATCTCACTGACCTGCATCTTATCTGTATTTCAACTATACTGCCATTGTTTTAATTTTACAGACCTATAACACAGCATATTTATATAAGGATGTCTTATAAGCCAACGAATAATAACACTAAGGCACAAACACAACTGAAGACGTGACAGAAGATGAAAAGGCAGGCTTGCAGCCAAGGTTGGGTCCCTGTCACTAGCACGGTTCAAAAGCCAAGCAGCTGGGTGAGGCTTTAGCGCAGCAGCAGCAGTCGGTGTGGAGAACAGTATGCGCCACATTAACTGACCGGCACAGCGGGGTGGCGCAGATGCGAATGGGAGACCGGACAGGTTATCTTGGGCAGTTGTCCTGCGCTGCAGCCAAGAGAGCATCGCATAAAGCTTTAAAAACAGCCCCGCAGAGCACCAGCTCTTCCGCAGTAACGCCATATCAAAGCGTGCCATCAAAGCGACACTGTGCAGCACAGTGCTGAGGTCTGGGGGCAGGGCACACCGGTATCTCGCCCACTTCCGCCTCCCTGCGACTACAGTAACACGCCTCAAGCTGCTATTCGCTTGCGAGCTCCGTCTTCAGATCCTAGTCTTCGTGCTAGCCGCAACTTTCTGATTCATCCTTTCATTAAGAGGTATTACAATACAGCCCTGGTGTCGACCTCTTCGGCCCCGTGAGTTACCCGATAAAGCTCGCCACTCGAATCACGCCTCTTTTCCGCCCTGCAGAAACTGTCCGTTTTTTAAAAGGGGTGGTAAAGGGGAAGGGCTTCATATTGTTCTCCAGAACCCTGGGCAGTTGTAAGTTTTTAACACATTTATCAGATTATCTACTGCCCTTTCTAGGTGCAATCCAAGTATAAGAAAACAAAAACCTACAGTATACCCCGATTTATTCTAAATGGAATTAGAATTTTCTGTCTGTCTGCGGGTTTCTGATCTTGAGCAATGATAATGCCAATGTAGAAAAGTAACCTTCTTATGAAAAGTGTTCTGTGGCAGCTTGTAACCTGATTGCAGTGCATGTGGAGCCAACTCACTGAAAACACAGCATGGCCGAGTCACTCATAAAGCAATGACACTAAACGCACGAGTGCTGTAGAGAAAGTCTGCTGTAAAATACTGTACCTGTACCTGGGTCTTCTCCTTCAACCTGTTCTGCTAAAACGACACAGAACACCACAGTATGTGTAAAAACGGCTGATTTGCCTATCAAGGCAAAGAGGAAGGACAAGTATGAGCGCTCACACCAGGTCGAGATTTAAAGTGACAGCAGCCTATTAAAGAACCATGGCTTTGACCCCGCGACTCAGTCCAGGAATCTGCTAATAGATCCGGTCAGAGACAACCTTCAATACTGTATATCTCTAAAATAAGTTGTAAGCACTTGCCTTTTCTGTCATCTGAATTGAATTCAGGAGTTATTCTATCATTCAAAATCAGAATACAATCTTCAGGTTTTACAGAGCAGAAGAGCTGGAGTTATTGTCTGCTACAGTGGGGCGATGCTTTTTCCCCACTGATAGGAATGGAAAACCTTAAGAAAAGCTTCAAACGAGAGGCAGCTATTCAGCCCATCTTACACATTGGGTCACCAGTACTTAACCAATCCACAAAGTTAAGGAAATCAATCCCTGTGTTTTACTCCTTTGTTCCAACAAGTAATGAAGGTGATAAAGTTGGAGGAGACCCCTGTCTCTTGGGGTTGCAATGCTGTGTCTCTGTTCACCTGACGGGGAGCTCACTGGGCAGCACAGCGCCACACCTTTCCACACTCGCTTCTGTGTGCTGTGTCTGTTCCCATTGTTCTCACCCTTCTGCTCACAGCAGTAGGTCAGAGAGAGGCCATTGCAGCTGCACCAAACCTGCACTGTCGCAAGCTACCAGGCTTTCATTGTCTGGACCAAGGCTGCATCTGCTGGGTCTGTCTGTAGCCTATTGCCCCGTAGCACTATCCCCAGCAAGTCTTACCCTACATCGGCACAGCCTGCTTTCCTTCAAAGGGAGCTGTACGCCATACTGTTGATACCAGTGTGTTGCTTGGTCTAGATCCCTTGAATGTCTCATTATGGACCAGATTGTCGTCCAGCAAAGACAGACCGATCTCGGTGAGACATCACTGCCATATCTCCCTGCTCCACGGAGACTCTGAGGTGGATCTGCTCATTAGGACGTATAGAGAACCATATACCTCCCTGCAATGTCGTGCGAGCCGGCACTGGTGGTTTACAGGCTCTGCAGGTATAGCAAAGTAAAACTACTCTAACAGCATTCCAGAGGTAGCTCTTCAAAATCCTTGCATGCAATCGTGCTGTAGGGTTGTATTACTGACTTTCTCTGCACACTAGGAAGTGTAGAGCTATTTCAGAGATGCAGCAGATCTCAAAGGCACGGTGGCGCAGAGGTTTGCATTGCTGCCTTGCAGCACTAAGGCCCTGGGTTCGATTCCTGGGGTTCTATCTGCATTGAGTTTGTATGATCTTCCCACATTTATGTGGGTTTCCTCCACACAGTCCAAAAACATATTGGTAGGTTAACTGGCTTCTGGGAAAACTGGCCCTGGTGTGTGTGTTTGTGTTTGTGTGTGCCTTGTGATGGACTGGTGTTCCCTTTCATGTATGCCTGTTGCTTGCCTGGTTAGGCTCCAGCTCCCAGCCTTGCAACCTTGCATTGGAAGAAACAGTTGCGAATGAGTGGATGGACCAGAACTCAAAGGAGAATTACACTGCCCAGGCTCAGAGGCTGTTTCCATTGTTTGAACTAGGCCATGGGGCTGAGGTCGTTGTACACGGGTCTGTGGCTGGTTATGAAATCAATGTACATACAGAACAAACCGCTACTTCCAAAAGCGGTACAGTGAAACCGTGAAACAGCCAACATCGATCAAACGCTTCACAAGTAAAAAAACTGTCTGTTGCATGAAAAGGTAAGGTTAGACAGTTTCACAGATTAGCAATCTGATAAGATTAATATTTATTCAATGCTTTCTTTAACTGAATATGACATATGGAACACATCCAAAATTTCCTGAAGAGTGTTGTTTTCATATACAGTATGTGTGATTGGGGCATTGATACAATATTAAGCAGGATTGCTATATCACATACGAATGTAGCAGTATTTTTGACCATTTTCCTGAAGCGTTGGAAAATAATGCCCTTGTAGACTGAGCTTAGTTTTTCCTCTCCTCCCCTCCCTGAAGAACCAGTTTGAAGTAGAAGAGGTATGTTTTTCTTCGTGACCAAGGTTTGTCTCAATAGTGATCTCTTCCTTTTGTCAACAAATACCTTCAGGGCACATTACGTCATCTTTATTGAGAAGGAACAATGTTTGACACGCAAGTGAGGGTGGTCTTTTCAGCAGGCACTTATAAGTACAGTTATAGAGCCGACAAAGTGGCATTTTCAGAGTGGATGGAAGGAATCTGAGACGCTGTTCTTGTTTCAGGAGCCTGGAGCTGAAACCAAGGTGTTCACAATGGGTGAGTTTTTTTGATTTGTGAAGACTAACACACTATGCAGCTTCTCTACCTAAGCTTTCTGACACTTACCAATAGAATACAACACATTACATTAAAACTTTGGCGCGTTCCAACATTGTTGTGAAGGAAACAAATCTCTTTATTTTTTTAGAGCTAAGAAAACCTTCATTTTGGCATCTGGTACAAGCTCCTAAGCCACTATGTCAGAGCTCCCTGGCTTCTGTCAGGGAACGGCTGAATGAGAGCATCAGATTTATTAGCTACTGACTGCCAGGGGGCCTAGATGGGCCAGATGTCCTCCCTTGTAACTCTTCCTGTTTCCAATAGCACATATTGACAGATTGAAACAAAATGACTTCATGTTGCACATCTCCTGAAAAATAGATGTTGCCTATTAAAAGAAAAAAGCTCACGTCGTAGTAAAGGTCTGTGTTGGTCCCAAGGTTTTGTAAAGCTAGCTGTGGTTTTGCAGCAATTAGAATATTACCGCACAGCTGCTCAATGTGGTTTAACCCGTTAATTAATGTTACAGTTTGTGTACGCTTACTCTTACTGCAAATGCTTTTGTTCATTTTCAAGATTTATGTAGACTCATAACGGTTGGTTTGTAGCTGTTTCTGAGAGTTTTAGATTTTTTTGTGCGAGCTAAAAGCGAACTGGTTTTAAGATGTTAAGGCATAACCTAAATAATATGATTTTTGACAACAAATACTCTTATGTCCCTTTAACAAAAGCCTCATTTGGAAACTCCTTATAAAATGAAGATTTTTTCATTTTCCAAATCTATTCTAATATTTTATGCAAATAGTAAAGTAAAACTATGCTTTATAAGAACTTTGGTCCCCAGTACTGTCCCTATAGCCTAATTTAATTGAACTCTAAACTCTAAACCTTTATTTAACCTGATCATTTGAGAACAAACTCCCCTTTCCACTATGGAAATTTTAGGCTAATAATAGTGATCCACTTACCGCTTGATGGAGTCACTATGAATTAAAATAGCAGCGCATATGAAAAAATCTCTTTTCTTGGAGAAAAACAGTAAGACTGTAATAAGCAACTTTTTCGCTGCTGTAGAGCAGTTTAAGAGACTTGGACTTATTTAAGTGAGTAATAATTGAGCACAATTAAACACAAGAAAAGGAACAAAGACATTAACCTTACAGGATCTAATGTGGATACTAACAAGTCCAAGACTCCTTTAAAAAAAACAACAATGAATGATCTGTGGTACAAATAGCACTTTATAAATGTACCTCAAATATCCTAAACACTCCAGTCACCATGAATAATATTTCAATAAGAAATATGTGATGCAATGAATAACTATGTTATATAACTATGTTATAATAACCTATCGTTAAGAAGGGTCTCTCAACACCATATTGAGGTGCCTTTGTGTTTTACGGGTTGAAAGAAAGTCTGTAATCTGCTTCCTCTCATTGTGTTTCAGCCAGGAATGTGCTGATAGTGCTTGCACACCAGAGCAAGAGCTCCTTCAATGCAGCACTTAAGGACGCCGCTGTGGAGGTCTTTAAGTCGCAGGGGTGTCGGGTGACTGTGTCGGACCTGTACGCCATGAACTTCAAAGCCACCGCCACTCCTGATGATGTCATAGGTAACTGTAGCAAACGCAGATGCTTCATCATTGCGACCTTAGTGTCTCAACAGCCGTGGACTGGTGTCCCACCCAGCGTGTACCCTGTCCTGCGCCCGTTGCTTTCCAGGATGGGTTCTGGCTCCTCCATGACCCTGAGTTAAAGGAAGTGGAAATCACGCTGTGTTATTAACCAGATGAATACCTGTCTGTATTTTTGGAAGACAGTCGTGTAAGGGCAATCTCTGCAGTGGAGAGATTTCCTTTGTGTGTTGCGCCAATCCAGCAACAAATCCTGATCTTGACAAAAAATTTGAATGTTGCCAATACAGCTTTAAAAGCGGATCATTTTTGGTGCTCATTTTTTTGCACGATGAAAAAGAGCGAGCCCATATGAGCTCTCTGTAATTGACGGTGTCGTACTGATCACACGTCCCGTTATTCACCTGCGTGCGTGGATGTTCGCGGCCCTCCTGTGCCGTCGAGCGTGTCGATTGGCGCATCTGCGGTGCCGTGCCCAGGCAGTGCGCGGCGGTGAGCGTGTCTTCACCGCTGATCTCCGCAGAGCCCAGGGACTCGGAGAACTTCCAGTACGGACGGGAGACGCTGCTGGCGTGCCAAGAGGGGAGACTGAGCGGCGACATTCTGGAGGAGCACAGGAAGGTCAAGGCAGCCGATTTAATTATATTTCAGGTAAAGGAGCACAGAACTGTGATCAAGGATGAAACCTGTTTTATTGCGGTCTTGTGTATTGTGTCTATGACTCCAGTTAAAGGTTCACTTTTATTGATAATACAACATTTTACCCTTGGCTGACTATGAAAGCTGCTGGCAAATAAAGGCAGGAAGTTCTGCAGATCATCAGTAGAGTTTTTCCTTACAAAAAATAACCTACAAAGTATTGAGGACTAGGTAGTGTTTTGGAAGCTGAGTTTCTGCATGAAGAAATCCTGGATTTCACAGATTTGGGGGTATTGTTTTGCCTTGAAAGGAGTTAGAACTGGTTAGCTGCTTACTGAGACCTCTCTTAATCATTTTCAGATTCAAAAGTGTTGGAAGCAGCTTCACATTTCAAACTCACTGCAAACCATGGTTCTAGTGTAACAAATTATTATGAATCAAGGAACTCAGATTGGATGGAAAGGAAGCCAGATGACTCGTGGTTTTAGGATTTGGGGAGAAAACATTATTGCAGTCTTGCCACATAGTGTGTCTTCCCAGCTCATTCACAGTTTGGGGCTTCCTGTTGGCAGATGAAGATTCTAAATTTTACATGATGAGATCAGATAAGATCATAAGAGATAAGATCACTTTATTAGCCATATACAATTTCTTGCATTAGGAGTTTGTCTTTTTGCATACCCAAGCTTGCTCTCCACGAGACACACAGGCACACAGACAGAGAGAGTAGGCAGTAATAAGAATTTCCACATTCAGGTTACATGGGCTCATTAGGGAAGAGTGTATCCTGGTATCTGTAGTGTATAGTGTACAGGAAAGCTTGTGACTCTTCCCCCAGTTGGGACAGTGACTAATCCCAGCAGGTCTGGCCCCCACTCCTGCAGCTGGGTGGACTGAATCAAGGGGGGTAAGGTACCTCACTTAAGTTACAACAGCAGGGTGTACAGCAAGGTCCCGAGCCCACAACCAGGCAGTCGTCAGCCCAGAATCTCACCCGCTGTGCTGCCTCACCACCACTGATGCCTTCAGTACCGAGGTTGGTGTGTGTAAGGCTGGGAGTTTGCTTTGTGGCATGGAGGAGAATGGGTCTGTGTGTGTTCACTAGGATTTCAGCGATTTTGTATGCAGACTCTTACATGTGGAGGTTAATGCGTATCTACTTTGTTTGTTTTTTTTTCATTCTGTCCGAACATGTGTGTTTGCTGTATACAGGTGGATGAGTATCAATGAAAACACGCAGGCTGTACATGCATAAGATACAGCAAAAACTCAAAACCTCCCTGAAGCATGCATGTTTCATGCTAAATTTAGACTACCTTAAGAAGAGTACTGTTATTAACGATAACGAGCATAATTAAAAAATGTTTGTCCTCTGTGCGCTCGAAGCGAAGCGTACTTCCTGTGTGTCTGTGTGTTCGCAGTTTCCCATGTACTGGTTCAGCGTTCCGGCCATCATGAAAGGCTGGATTGACCGAGTGCTGACTCAGGGCTTCGCCTTCACTCTGCAGTCGATTTACAGCAACGGTGTTTTCAAGGTAATCGCACTTGGTGCAGTGCTGTCTTCTGAATAGTCAAGGGACTGCACCCTAGGATTCCTGTACCCCATATTCAAGAACTGTGAATACCTGGTTACCTCCATCAGGGGTGGGCACTCCTTATCGACAGGTTTTCTAGATCTCCTTAAAGCTGCAGCACCAGGGGCCCTGGCAGAAGCTGTTCAACTGGTCCCCTTAATCCTGTAACCCCACCAGTGCAGGATCTGGACTGTAAGCACGCCTGCTGGGCAAGCAATACTGCATTACGAATCACGGATAGAATGCAATGTTCCCGATGAACCAGCAGGTGACTCTGTTTCCTAATCTTCCAACAATCGCTGGTAGCTGAAGTTAATGAGAGAAGGCGCTGTGCTACACGAGTTACTGAGAAACTAACGCACGATTCATTTCTGTAAGAAAATGAAAACGCATTTCAAATCTCGAGTCTTAGCCTTTGTTTCTTCTGTGTTTTTAGGATAAGAAAGCAATGCTCTCCTTAACGACAGGTGCGTCTGGAGCTATGTTTTCGCCAAGCGGCCTGAACGGAGACCTGAACGTTACTCTGTGGCCATTACAGGTAATGATTACTGGCAAGCTACAGGGCGTTGAGCCACTAGTGCATGTTTCTGCTTCAGCCTTCTTCAGAAGATTTTGGCCATAATATCTATGTAATGTATTGTAACGACTGCAATGTAATGTGGTTACTATGTATGACTATGGAATGACCATGTAATGACCATGTATTGGAACAAGCAAAGGTTTATTCCACGCTGAAAAGAGAAGTAAAGAAACACAACGTTTTGGCTGTGGAGCCTACTTCACACCCGAAGAAACTCCACAGTCAAAACATTGTGTTTCTTTTCTTCTCTTTTCAGCGTGTAATAAACCTTTACTGGTTCCTTTGCAGCCTACGCATGGTGACACAACTACCTAAATGAAAGACTTTGTATTGATGTATTTCTTCCATAAAGGGCTGATGCCCTTTATGTAATGCTAGATTTCTTTCACAATAATATTAATTTGTACATTTTGTAACGTTTCTGGGTGAAACTTGGCTGCTGGGAGGAGGAACACATTTCAGGGAAATCAGACAAAATCTGAAGAAAGGCAGAGGCGGGTGTGTTCTCCTGCCTGCGCCCTGCTGAAGACCTTGCGTGTTGTGTGTTTCCCTCTGCAGAACGGGGTTCTCAATTTCTGTGGCTTCCAGGTCCTGGCCCCTCAGCTCTCTCACTCCCCGGGGTACTGCCCCCCCGAAACCCGCGCCACCATGCTGGCGGCCTGGCGCGGCCGGCTGCAAGGCGTGTGGACGGAGGAGTCGCTGGCCTTCCCCCCCACCGAGCTCTTCGACCCCCAGGGGGGGTTCGTGCTGAGGGAGGAGGTGCAGGCGGCGCAGGCGGGCGTGAAATACGGCCTGTCTGTGGGCCATCACCTGGGTAAGCCCTTCCCCCCGGACAGCCAGCTCAAGGCAGGAGACAGAAACCGAGACCACGACTGACCACGCGCTGCTGTGCTGTAGCTCCTGCTTTCCTGTCTCGGTGAACCAGCGACAATAAACGAGTTGCAGTAACCCACTGGCATCTGTTGGTCTCTGCCTCTGTCCATTCCCCATTTCCAAAGCCAGGATAGTAATCCATACAAGTCGAGGATAACCTTTAGGACTTGTTTCCACCAGAGATTTTGCGATGGGTTATGGCTCTATGGAACAGAGCCAAACCAACTGCAATGCATGGGCAAGAACGTGCTACAGGCGATGAAGCAGCAGGTCCGAAGAAGCCGCTTGCTGACCATTTCAATTGCTTGTGACAGCCATTTGAGCCACGACCTGTATTCCGAAGGAGAACCTTGGTAGGTTACAGGAATCTCCCTGTTCCCAGTTCATCCTTTCAAACGCGTGCCGCGCGAGGTTTTCCACTGCCAAGAGTCGCTTTGGAAAACAGCACTGCGGGTTTGGTGCGATAAGGAAAAGGAGAATGAAGTTCAAGGCATGGACTTTGGTCCAAAATTAGATGCAACCTCCATGCATACACACTTGTTTGTAAGTGAAATGGGCCTGGGGCTCAACCTGTACTTGGAAGTAACTTCTTTTCAAATGCAAAGAAGCTTAAAATATCGGCAGTCTCCTCTGTGGGCACGTTCCTAATATTCCTGAGGCACTGCTTACAAAAAATAATGACCTCAAGGGGACGAGCAGTCTAACGAAGCCATGCCATTTGCTTAAGATCAAGTAAGAGTTTTCAGAAGTCATGACTCCCCAAGCCAGGATAGTCACCCAGGGTCAGGGCTCCTGCTGTCTTGTTATACTCCCAGCGTTTTATTTCATTTGTGCTCACGTTACATCTGCGATAGTGAGGATGTGGTTCAAGGTATATTGGAGGAGGCACTAGATTTTAACCAGGCCTCACAACTGTATAAACCTCATCTTAGCTAAATGACTGAAATGGGCAAAAAAGCAAAGGTAGCTGTTCTGGAGCATATTCAACAACTCAATTAAATATTTATATTAACTCAAACGGATGCAATATTTGTCTTGGACATTGTATCAATTTGTTATACATGTATAGACAGAATTATTAAGGAAGTTATATTTGATCTAGCCATTTACTAGTCATTATACTGTGCAGCAATTAACCGAAAAAGCTTCCCCCCTTTAGATATACTTCTGATTTCAGGAGCTGCTACAGTGCTGGGATTGGAGATCTCTAATGAAAACCAGGTGAATGTTGTAAGTGTTGTACTGGGCCAGGAGGGGGCGCTCTTCCTTCTGAGCCAGAATTTCCAAACCAAAATCCAGGTATGGTGATATGGGACAGTGTGCTGTTGGACAGGCTGCCCAAGATGTTGGTCACAAAATTTAGTTTCATTTAGACCTGATTATTTTTCAAATTAAATGATCAGTTTTGTTCTAATGCGTGTCAGTAGTGGTTAATGCAGTTATGAGGGTGGAGCTGGTTTCAGTGGGACGCTGGGAAAAACAAGAAGACAGGGTGTGGCTGTGAGATCCAGCTTTTTTAACTGATGTCACTTATTAATATATATTAAATGAACTAAACAGTCGAGCCGTCGGACAAAAGAAAAATATTCACACAATTAATTTCTTTGAAACCAAAATCTATTCTGTGCAGCAGAATAACAAACATGCAATGACAGGCTCAAAACACCAGTGGAAAGCATGTGCAGTTTGTCATTGGTCACCTCATCGAACAGCTGCAAGACATTATTTCAGATTTCATCGGGTGGCTTAAAGACTTTGCAATATAAGCTCTTGTAATGTTACTTGTTTTGTGCTTCCGTGTACTGTGGACATTGGTTTAATGTATTCAGACTTGCAGCATTGTTTGGCACGGACACATCTGAAGTATTTTGAAGATCTACTTACCTTTATGAGTCAGTATTCACACACATGGAGAAGATTAAATCCAAACGCTGGGCTGCTGGTTGACAGATGGTCATCTGGATGTGTGCTTGAGACTAGAAGTCTAACGACTAGCCTGGTTATGCAAGGCTTACTGGTACCATGCAGTAGAAATCATCACATCATTGGTATAAAAACTGGTTTTAGGCTTAATTCACACTAGCATCTGACCAGTCCCAAGATGAATGCTAATGCGGTAGGCATTTGTTAACAGTCTTTACATAATAACGTGCAGAAGATTTTTCCTTATATTTTTTTGTTGTTTCTACCTATAGACAGATACTACACATTGTGCTACATTTCTTACTCTGGTCCTCAGGTGACATGTCCTGCCTCAACTCCACTCTGCACCTGAACAATCTTTTACTTTACAGTTTCAGTTTAATTCACTGGTGAAGCAGTTTCTCACCTTTTCACCTGAGCTGCTATGTAATGGGGCTGCTGACACAGAATGGCTACTGTGCTACATCCAGGGGGGCTACTGGGGTCCTATAGGATGAGGATATAAAAGAAAGGACTCGTGGCATTGCTGGAATTTCTCCTGAATTTAATCGGGCTTTTTGACCCCAGAAAGAATACCTTTCACTTGACGAGATACAGCCATTCAGAAAGATTCATTTCTGAGGGATGTTAGTGTTCGTAAATCTGTATTATTAAAAATTACCAAGATCCCACACTAAGAATGTATTGTCAGCGCATCTCTTTGATTTGCTCCGACTCCAGGCTGGATGCTAAGATGTTATCACACTACCTGGAGTCTCTCCAGTGGAAGGCAGAAAGCAAAGAGGAAAAAGCACATATTTTGCTCACAGAGCCTCATCGGGTATCTGATGTCTATTTAACCTGTAAGTCTTTGTGAATGTCTACAGGATATGCAACACGATTGGCTGCAGATGGTTGTGTTTGTTGGTGTTTCGCCTTAAATTAAGTTAGAATAAATTATTTATTAACCCGTTAGTCGCTCAAACATTTTACACGCACACAGTTCTGCAAAATCTCTTCTGGTTTGCCTGCTGAAGTGTGATCATGCAATCTTTTCTGTGATGGTCTTCTATTGGATAATGTAACCGGCTTTGAGCATTTCCTATGCTGTGATGTCTAGTGTGATTCCAAAGCTGGCCAAGGCCCATCTGTGACTGTATATCCCTTTGTTTAAATTTCACAACACCACAGGAGGTGAAGAGACTCAAACAGTGTATGCTTTACAGAATGCACCTTCTAATTTTTAAAAATAGTGTAATTATAAACAAGAGTGTAGTACATTGTGTTTTCGGAGCTGTAATTATTTAATCCTTTTAGTTTATCACAAAGAAAATAAGTTAGTTGACTTGCGGGTTTGTAAAAAATGAATTCTAGGTTATCTCTGATCAGCATGGTAAATTTCACATACCAATTTTGAACAAGCTCCTGCTAGAAATGTTTCTGATCTCTTGAAAATGTGGTGTGTGCACGAGTAAAGTAACATACACCTTTAGCAGATCCATAGAACCTCAAGCACTTACAGTATACAGGAAGAACAACATTTGCAAGCATTGCCATGTTTTAAGACGGGGAATTTGGTGTAACTAAGATGACAGTCCACATTTCTCCCATGGTTTAATAGGTTAGATATAAAGACTACACTTTTTCTCTACTCTTGCAACAGTCTTTAATAAGGGAGCAAGATAATAGTCTTAAAACAAGGCCAGGATGTGGCCTAAATTAATAGTTCAAGCTACAGACTTTAAATGATATACATTTTTAATTGTTTAAATAGTTTTTTCAGTAAAAAAACATTCAACTAAAACTGTGACATACTATTTTGTACACTTTTGGCATTGGCTTCATGGTAATTTAACAGTTTGTCATGGTGCGTCTAACTACTCAATTGCAGACAGATGATGCAGTAGAAAAAACAGGCTACTTAAATGTGAGAAATAAAAACATCACAGATATTTGTTTTAAAAAGATATTAATAAGGCTTTCAAAGCATTCAGGCAACTACTTATTAATGTTAAATACGTTCTAATAAACTTTTCTTGGACAGAGGATTATAACATGCAGAGAATACACATCATTTTCAAAGCCTTGTCTGTTCATTATGAGATTTTGCTTCTCTCTGACTCAAGTAGACACCATTTAATAAAGCTCGGTGTCTTTCACCTGCCAATAAAGTCAGAAAGATATTAAATCAGAAACTGGTTTGTCCCATTGGAATGTAGGAGTTACCATATTGGACTGGATGTGCATTATTGTTTTAAAGGTTACAGACATAAATACTGAATGAATGAAACAGACAGAGTATTATACATATAAAGCCAGCAAACAAGTAAGGTTACAAAAAATGTCTAAGTAGACTAATGCCATATAAATACAACTCAAGAGTGTTTTGATTAAAATATAGAGTTCAACATGAATGGCTGCTATCACAAGCATTTGGTGGCAGCAGTGGTTGAACAGTAGCAGCCTCTAAGGACAGGACAACTGAATTCTGGTGTATCTGCATCTGGCCACAGGCTCTTGCGGATGCTGTATGGCTATTTTTATTCATTGAAAGTCTGTCCTCTACATGGATATCAACAAAATGGCTGAGCTTGTGTTCTAGAAGTGTCAAAGGGGAAATGGGAAACCAGTTCGCTTCGGCCCGGTTAGTTACAGTTCTCCATCCCTGATCTGGGGGCTCACTTGTCGCACTCCAGGTCTTGCAGGTCCGGGATCTGCTGGTCGTAGTGCTGCTCACAGAATTCCCGGATCCGGTTGCAAGCCTCCACCATCATCTCCTCCGGGACCGTCACCACGATGCGGAAGTAGTCTGGGTACTCGAAAGGCTGAGGGGGGTTGAAAGCACGTTTCAGAATTTCTTCTCAAGAGCACTTACCACACTGCGCGAGCCACTGAGAAATACAGTACCAGGCTAAAATGGATCCCAAGCTCTTGTCTTGAGGAATTCCACAGTAAGCACATGCATTTTCTGCACTTTCCCCTTGAGCTCTGAAGGTTGTGAACTGTTATTAACATCGGACCTTAGGAGAAGGTGTTCAGTTCCTCTTACTGTGGAATTGGTAAGAAAGTTTCTGCCAGTCATTTCTAAACTCTTTTCTTTATTTTATCTCCGAGAAGTAAGACTATCCAAAACGATGGGTGTTTCTCAAGTCAGCCTAAGATTTCTCCCCAGTCTTATGTTCGAATGTAGCTGCAGAGGGATAAAAACGCTTGTTTTAATATGACCTGTGTAACCAGGTGCTTCTTTAGGTTTACATATGAGACTACAGACACCAAATTTACCTGGAATTCTGAACTGTGGACTCCTGTGCATATTATGGCTGTCAGTGTTTCTACTGTTTTGTCTGGACTTCAGCAAACATATCAGCACAAAAAAGGCACTCTTACTGTTGCAGGGAGACAGAAGACCGACTGCTCCGTCACTAGTCTCTCGGTGAACTCCACGTCATTCTTGAACTCCGGGAAACGCTCCATATCAATCCCCACCTACAGGGAATCAGACATCGTAACAACAACTATTCAGGCTTGAAGGAAACTGCTGTATTAAACTATGTTTTGAGTCAGAGCAAATATAGAGTTCAATATTCACTGTTCCACAGAGTTTGTGTGCAGTACTTCAGCTATGAATAAGACGCCCAACAGGAATTTAACTACTGAAAACTTCTAAAATGTTCTATTTTGTAAGACCTGGACTTCTATTTTTTCTTCTACTCTCTAAATATATTATAAATTGTTTTTCCAAGAAGAATAAGGAAAAATATTAAATATTGTCTAAATCTAAATTATGCAGTGATTAACCTTGACAGTGATATTAAGTGACAGAACACCAAGAATAAAAAAGAGCAGAATGTTATATAGAACGTGTTTATACCAAGGGTATGGACGTCTTGCAGGATAAAGGGATCTTTATTTAGTTTTATTTAATATACGGTATATAGGTTTTTGCCAATATGTTTCACATTTTTGCACCATCTTTTTGGTTGCAAAACTGTTGTTTTACACAATGGAATTAATTATTATCTAATAATTAAATTCATAGGGCCGGGTGGTGGTGTTGCATAATTTTGCATCAGCAAAAACTCAATTTTTCTAGAAACAATATGCTACAGCCACATTCATTGCTCAAAACTCTTCATGTGCCAGCTGATTTATATGTAACTACTAAGGTCAATGCACTGAATCACTGTGCTTTGATAAACAGATGACCTTGTCTTTCGAGCTTCACTGGCATGGAGTCAGAGTCTTTGGCATGGAAGGTAGGAATCTAGAATTTACAACACAATTTTAATTATTCATACCTTTGAAAAGCATCAAAGGAAAATCTCATTGGGCTTATAAGTACTGGGCATTGGATCCTGTGAGGTGGCATCATAAAACAGGAAGATGCACAGAGTACAGGGGTCTGTCCTTTCATCACAGCACTGGAAGTGAGATGCCCTGCAGTTGTGTGTAATAGGGCCCTGGGATATACAAGCCCAGTCCCCATTGCAGCTGGAATATGCTGAGGTTGAAGCACAGGCCAGTGGAGATTCATTTGGAACCCACCACATTCAGACAGGAAGTGGTTTATATCCAAACGTGATCAGATATGAGAGATGTTATAGTTTGTCAGCTTTAGTTACACCAACAACGGGCACTTGACACATTTTTGGTGTAGGATAGGGTAGGGTAGTGCTAATGGTTCAGGTAACGATTATTAACCAATGGAAGTCATAATGGTTAATAACATCAGCTAAATAAAGTACAATTATAACATAAATTATATAGAAATACAGAAAATAACACTGGCATTTTCACTTTCTGTCCAATCAGGAATCACTTAAATGAGACTCTGGTAATTTTGTGTAAATTTATCTTAAGATCCTTTGAGTGAGAGATGAAAAGCTAGTGCATGTGACAAAAATACATTTTCAACATTTTCACAAAGGATTGAGCACCCTGTGTCTACTCACCATTATATACATGGCCCCTGATGGTTTTATTGGAGTCAGGCCAGGAACAGTGGAAAGTGCATTGTAACAGATGTCAGAATTGGACTAAAACAAACAAGGTGGAGACAGAGAGAATAAAAAGTGATTTGATGTTTCCAAAAACTCCAGTACTTTTTGTCTAGTGGCAGCACACGATTCTCCTACTAAATAAACAAAAAAATTGTCATTTAAAAATCCTTATCGTATGGTAAATAGCGTGATGCCTATGTGGCCTTGAATGCCCGCACTAAAAATAAACAGACATCACAGTGTGATAACATGTTCATGAAAGAGAAAAGCTTTAGAAGACAGCCTTGTGCAAAATGGAATATACTTTGAGCCTAACAACCTCATTTGAATCTGCTCTTAATCCTTCATTTGCAATTTCATATAAAAATACAAGAGTTAGTGCATTTATAAATATTAATTTACAACAAATCATTTTGCATACAAAAATAATTTGAGAGACTGGAATTGCAGTTGTGTTCCAGTGATTTGCTTCTTATTTGGATCATTTTAAATGATGGGGACAGGCTATTGCACGTGGTCCTTCTTTCTGTGTTTCATGCCAACTGAAAGGTGCAGAAGAAAAGCAGCTTCCCTGATTCAGTGTCTTTTAAACCACTTTTCAAGAAAAGCACAATCAAATAAACATCAATTTCCTACAGAGATACAAGGATGCTATTCTTGATAAAACTCTTGAAAAACTAATAAATCTCTTAAACTGCCCTTGTCTGCATTGCCTCTTGACAGGCTTACAGGTTCTGTTCATTGGTCCACCAGTGGGGACAGACTTCTCAAGATTAACCAGCTTAGCCCTTTCCTTTCAGTACTGCCATATACAGTACACGTGAATTACCAGTGTGCTGACATACTGCTGGTCCTGCAGAAAGAAACTATAGGAAAGTTTAATATCCAACAACAGTAAAATATTTAGGTAGAACTGTCCTTATAGTTCTACCAGCCAGTAATCAAGGTTGAGATCAGGAATGAACAGCTCTGAATGGTCATACAGTACAATGAGCAATATTTCTTTGTGTGGAAGACCTGCAATGTCATGGGATACACTATATTTCCCTCAGTGTAGCAGCCTGTGGATTACTTTTTTGGCAAAATAAAATTAAAGAGTTTGGAGACTGTCACTCACTTTCAGGAAGCTGATGGTGCTGTCATAGAATTCCTGAGATGTTTTGTTCAGGATACTCTCCAGGGCACCTTGGACAACTGTGCACGGTCCCAGAATCCTCTGGGTGAGCTTGACCAAACCTTCTCTTATCTGTCACAAAACAAATAATTGCAAAATGAAATGAAAGAAAAGAGGATACACTGTTCAGATCAGAGATACTTTAAACGATGCACCTAAAATTATTATGCTTGCTTTTCTGTGTATTTAACGATGAAGTGGATGTCTAACTGCATAGCTAATGACCGAATGACCATGCAGCAGTGTAAGAATTACTGTCATTAATAGATACCAATTCCCCCTGGTCAAATATAAAATCTGAAATACATACTATACAGTTTGTATGTTTTTTTTTTCTTCATATTTAGAAGTTCATCAGCAGGTCTGATGCAGTAAAGTGATAAATATATATCATACTGCTTTCCCTAGAAACGTAAAGATCGTAAAGAGAGAAGACCATTCGCCAGAGTGTACAAATACTGAAATCAGTAAATGACATTAACTGAGTGACTAACGAGCCCTGCGTCACCAGAACAGAGAGAAAGTTCAAGTTAAAGCTCAACACCGAGCCTCTCTGAAAAATAAGAGCCGTGACGTCAGCTCCACCAGCAGCCTCCTCACCTCGGACCCGAAGGCGTTACTGCGGTCATGAATGAGGATCCAGCCCAGCCTCCAGCCCGGGACCAGCCACCGCTTGGCCAGCCCTCCGCAGGACAGGATGGGCACGTCGGCACTCAGAGGGGCCATGGCGTGGAACGTGCATCCTGGGAAAACCTGCGAGGACACCGGAGGCACGGATTCAGCCGTCAGACGGAGGAATTCACACAGGCTTTTTCAGGGAAGGGGGAGAATGACATGGGTCTGAAATGAACAACTTTTGAAATAGTTAAAAACACCCTGAAGGGTAATCAAAGGACATGGATTTGGATCTGGTTCATCTGGATCTACAGCATTCTTGGTGAGCAGCGTCTGTCAGACCCAATGCTGTATTATAACTCACAGAGAGTGTAATATGCAAAGGAATGTGGACAAGGCGTTGCCTTTTCATGCACTGAGGAAGGCAACACTGACATATCGCTTGAGTTTGAGCACTTTGCCGACCGCATAACTTGTGGAAAATTAGAGAAAGTACAACTGAACAGATACAGCAAGTGAGTGAATGAAACAGTGGTGGTTAGCAATTGCAGTTGAGTCTCTAGACCCACCGCTCTGCAGGTCTCAGCTGCTGACTGGTGGACTGGGGAATGTGTTCATCGTGGCGCTGTTCTGTGGACTTACTGCTTGGAAAGAACTGGCCATATAACAGGAAGATGTGGAGGAAAAGCGAATGAATGTATATGCTGAGCTACTACATTCATTTAAAGAAAGCACAGAATGTGCCTTTCCTGTTTGTGAGTGTCAAGTAAAGCCTGTGTTTTTCAAAGAGTGCAAAAAGGACATCCATCCTTATACGGACACAGAACAGAATTAGTTTAAGAGCTATGACTGGGTAGGCCATTAGACTCAGCTACTTCACAGGTCACAGTATTGGAAATAAAGATGTTGACAAGAAGACCGGTATACAGTAAAATAAGTCACACATTATCGATTAAAAATCAAATGTTACCTGCTACAGTATCATACGAACATGCAATGTAATTCTTTGTCAGCAACCCTTTAGAAAGTGCCCCACTGCCTCATATTTCAATTTCCTTTTAATTGCACTTGGGGTGTTAATAAGCATATAAAGGAGCCCCTTGGACAAACAGGTTGTAAAACTCTTCTCCACAGAGTTTTCCCATCATCAACAATTTTCCACAGAGAGCGGAAGAGAACTAGCACAGTGCTAACTACAGTTAGGTCACAACGGATGAGCATTCCACCAAGAAGCCGTAGGATGTTACAGATCTAACACAGCGTGGGACATGTGCTACAAGCCCTTTTTCTGAGAGTGCCTTAGAATGCACCACTATGTCCACGGCCTTGCTCAAACCCGTGTGAGACACGAACCTGCAGTTTGTGCTGAGAGCACCTCACATACCTGACCTGTACAATAACCAAAGGGCCTGTAGCTAATATAGCTTTATTCTCACAAAACAAAAAAACCCAAAAAACAAGGAAGAATTTAGACAGTCCTGCTCACGACGTGAACAAAGAAGACACATAAAAGGAGGTGGATCTGGTTGTGATTAAGTGGGAGAGGGCTGGAGCCGAAGCCACAGCGAGCCTGAAAAAGTGCAAAGTCACTGTGGCGACTGTTTCCCATTAAAGCACTTGGCAGGAGAACAGCTCTCTGCCGCACACATGCTGCCTTCATACACTGCACAGGACTAACACAGAAACACAGCCGACGCGTGTTTTTTTTTCCAAGCCTGAAGTCTTCATTCAGAAGAGACAGCAACTCAGGATTATTGTTTCTCCTCAGTTATTTTAGTTTTTTAGAATTCACTGAGGAGCAGATGTGGCTTTCGGTAGGTTTTTTTCGTGGCCTTTTGGAGTAATGGGTGTCATTGGGGGTGGGTTGGGTTAGAGGAGGGCAGAGAGGGGGTTTAGGCACAATATGAAAAATAGAAACTTTTCCACCATCTGCAAAGCATTATGGGACACAACGCAAACAACGCAATGTGATCCCACTCTTGTGTAATATGGGGCTGGGTGTACCTGCTTTTCATCAATGCTAAAAAATTAAGGAAAGAGTTCCTCACCTCTAAACTTTTTACGTATTGCCTAATGTCACAATAGGTACAGTACATATGGAAATGACTGGCACTGAGTAAAACACATTAGTTTGACAGGTTTATTAAGATCAAGTCATTATGAACAACCTGTCACAAATGGCAAATTAAATCTCACAAACATTAAAACACTATTTGTTACAGAATGGGGCTTAAAAGTATTGTGAAAATTATTGTAACTTGGAAAGGTTTTGTTTCAAGACTCAGATTCTTCTGTAATGGGAAAATACAGAATGCATTTCATCGCAATCGGAATAAATTTTGGTAGGGATTTAATGATGCACCTGGTGTCAATAAAGAAATGAGCAGTGGAATTTTAATTCTTAGGGTTTTCTTTTTTCAGATGGACAAAAAGAAATCACTACACAAAAATCAGTCACCTGGTCCTGCACAACCTTAATTTGTACATGAAAGATGTTAAGATTGAGGCAATATTAGAAGTGTGACTAGAAGAAAGATGTACATGTGTACACCCTGTTTCTCGTATGAAAATCATTCTCATTGTTGTGTCCTTCTTAACCATGCTACAGAATTAGTAGCCATGCGATACTGACTTTACAATCATCTACCGCAGTATACTTTATCGTGATAATATCGTTTTCTATGTAACGGAGGTGACGTCAGCAGCAACAGGCACATTTCTTGTGGGGTTTCTTCATTTCTAGTTTCTGTCTAAAATTTGAATAAAGCAAACAGCAAAGAAAATGAATTATAGTAAATGTGAATTGGCATGTGTCAATATTTTTTTTTTCCAATACCGTGCTCAGGAGCCCTTCAAAAAGGAGCTTCGCCCAGGGTCCTTATTTCATTCAGTCTCTAAAACAGGTAGTTCACAGGGTCCGCAATGCCATCTCGCTTTACTTTGTGCGTATCGGCTCCACTGATTAAAGCCTATGATTCAAATCAAGTGATACCAGAGCTTCATTCAGAGGTAGATCACTAATCCCTCACAAACGCTGATGTAGGTTGCTGTTACAACACAGAAGCCCGAGTCAGATCGAGAACAAGAGGAGCACAGAGAGCTGATGAAAACTTCTCATACTTTCTGAGGAAAAGAATGTGCCTAGTTTGTAGTTTGTGCTGGGTGTCACACAGAGAACTCCAGCAGCACCAATTACAGGTATTTCAACGTGACCACAGCTTAAAGTCACAGCTCACAGACCAGTGTGCTTAATAATACTGAATGTGTCTAGGAAGTAACATTTAAAAAATAGAAAATAATTGCTTTGGAAAACCGAGCCTGTTTTTCTAGCATAAAGGAGTCTTGTCAGTCATCTAAGTATGTCAGTTTGCATTTTGTAGCTCATTAATGGACTTACCATGTCACCATAGATTTCATCAGCCAGTATTGGGACACAGTGTCTGGAAGCAACTGGAATGAACGATAAATAGCCTGAGAGTCAAACAAGTGAAATGCTACAGACTAAGGGAGTCAAAATGCATAAATATGTATATCGCATGATCTTCAAATCAATAGACTAGTTAATCTATAGGAAACAGTACAAACTTTTACAATCATAAAGTACTGACAGAATTCTTCCTGAGAGATGGATTAATTCTAGATGGTAACAGCCTGCAGATGCAGTTATAATCTACCTTATATCTATCACTTCTTAATTTAATTTACTACACCATATAAAAATTAAGCAACTTTACAGAAATATGATGTACTGTAACATGTACATTTATAACAAAGAATGTGTTATCTGGTCAAGTCTCTGAAATGGTCAAATTAGCACAATACAATCGTCTTCCTTTCATGTCTTAATATCATTATTTCCTGGAGTATGAGCAGACAAACATTGTACTACACAGGTACTATGATACCTTGGAAAACCAAGGTTTTACCGTCAACAACACTCATGTGAATTGTAGAAAATAAGTTAATTCAACTTAATTTAGACCAAAAGAGAGAGAGAAAAATCACAATAAATGTCTGGAATTGGCCTGCAAATACCATGGTAAATCTCTACAGCGGATTCACGGCTATACCAGTGCGACATCATACACTAAGAGACTGACCTGCAAGGATCTTCTGAATGTGGGATTTACTGAAGACAGAACCACAGGGGTTAGATGGGTTGTTTACAATGATGCAGGCTGTCTTGTCATCAATGAGTGACTCCAGGTGCTTCAAGTCAACTTCCCAAGATTTTTCAGGCTAAAAGAGAATGCAGAATTACTTAACCATTTTTTACGAGCACAAAAAAACTTTGAAAGTGTTTCTTTTTTTTGGTAGCAGTAACTCGGTGTCAGGTCTCCTACAGTAAGTGACTGAATGGCACAATTTGATTAACAAAATGTTCTATGATGTTCACATTTATGTAGTTTTGTATGTAGGAATTATAGCTGTCACCACCAGTCATCCTGAGCCTTTTAACTTGCAGATCAGAGTACCTGTGTTTTTTTTGTTCCTTTACCAGACTGCAAGCAGGGAAGGAGCAGCCTCAGCTGAAACTCTTGCGCCATTGGTGGAGAATGAACTTGCATGCTTGTGGCCTGATATGGGTGAGTAGGGGGGGAGTGGGGGTGAAACACCCTGTGTAACCAGGAGCAGATGTTGTGGGGTCCGTTCTGTGCAGCAGGCAGACGTAAAATAAAACATTCTTTGCCTAACTCATTGACAAGCTTGTTTTTTTTCCAGATGTGCTCTCTTTACTTTCTTTATGTGATAGAACTGCACAAACTGATATCTTGCAATCTTTAACATGGCAGAATTTAACAAGGCATGTTTTGTGATGCAAATGATCCCTCATTACCAAATTGCCCATAGCAGATTTTGGTCTCTAAACTGAAAGAGAAACATTCAAAACTCTTACCAGCAAATTGTAGAGCTTCACCTCAATCCCCATGGACACCGCCAAAGTCTTATAGAGAGAGAAACCAGGACAGGGTACCAGAATGTTTTGGCCAGGGTTACACAGGACCCCAATAGACAGCTCAATGGCTTGACTGCAGCCACTGGTCAGGATGACATCCTGTCAGGAACAACGGAAGAGCACTGTGTCACTGTGGTGATATTAGGGACACTGAAAGAAATCACAGTAGCAGTTCTCCTAGTCATCAAAAACCCCTATAAATCCTAACACATACTACTGTTTTATAAACTCACATATTATTTTTCTGCACTGCCTACTTCAGTGCAAAAACACTGTGTTTGAGCTACTCTTGTATAGCTAATGGCTGAACGTGATGTCTCAGTCTTTGGTAATGTACTGATTTTGGTATTGATTGGGATAGTCATGTCTAAAATCACATCTTCTTAATTCGTTGAGGTCTAACTGCATGTGAACAAACCAATTTGACTCTCCTGTTCTTAAATGAGCATATTTCCATTGACACTCTTTTTTATCCAAAAGTCCTATCAAACTTTAAGCTCTTGGCCATCTTTACAATGAATAAATCAGACGTTTTCTTTTTTTCTAAAGTGTTACTGGCTTGATTGCTAAGCCATCCCCCAGTACAGTGAGACCACACACTTATAGAAGCTAGTGGCTCAGTGTGACTACTATTTCTATGCATGAATGATCCCTTGCTTCCATTGGTGAACATCAGTGATGTCAGCCACCTCTGGTGTCCAATGAGAATGCATTCTCCTCTGGTCCCACAACACACCTCATTGCACCAGGGTGCTGCAGGTGTTTGAGCAGACCAACTAACTTTTAGAAGCTGCCTGCATTTCTGCAAGACCCACCAATGATGGGACATGGATAAAGTAAAGCCTTACCTTAGCCTCCAAGAGTGCCTCTGGGCAGCTATAGAAATTGGCAACTGCCTCTCGACTGCTCTGGTACCCTGTCAAAGGAAGGACAGAATTATGTGTAATTTAAGCACAATTACATAAGGAGAAGGTAAGCTGTCAATACAGTAAGCTTCCTTTACGATGTGCACAGCCATTTTATTTTTTATGAAGCAAAAAACAGATCAGCATGTGTTTATTAAGAGGGGGAGTCTGAATAAGATGAATAAGAAGGCACTGTTGGCGCCTGAATCTGATTATCAGACAACAGGAAGCACCATGTGCTTGCCAGAGAATGAGTCCGTCTTCCATTTCTGCCTCCAGGCGTTTGTAAGAACCAAGGCTAATCACCTATTGAAGGCGCATAACCATTGAACTTCTGTGAGGTGATGGCCTCTGTCATGGCTATCAGCACTTCATCATCTGTGGGCAGGTTCCCGAATACAGTTGGGTCACCTGGGTGAAGAAAGGAAAGTAAGAGGTGGTGCAGTGATAAAATGACACCTGCAAGAGCTATTGCAGACTCTTTTTTTTTTTGGACTACTTAGACCGCGTACATTCATGAATTCCCTTTAAAGTTGAAGTTATCCCCCCCTTTGAGCATGAAAATGATGCTTCTGACTCTTCTCTGAATTTGTACTTTCTTCTGGAAGGGTGTGCTGGACTTCACAACACCGGGAGGCTCCGGGTCTTAATGTCTTGGTCGCTAAAACACCAAAGGCTCACAGCATGCTCACAGCCTCCCTCGGCGGTGAGCCAGCAGCAGCGGCGCGCCTGCCGGCTGGAGATGCGCGCTCCTCGCTCCCGGAGCGCAGCGCTCTCTCCGCGCCGAGCTGGTCCTGGGCTCTACAATCGACCTCAATCACCTCACGCCAAATAACCCAGGAATGAGCTAAAATTTCATAACGCGAACAGATAATTCTTGGTTTAAATGTATGGTCACGGAACTCAGGACTTAAAAATAAAAAAAGATTTAGCTGTCATGTTTACAAATATAAATTACAGAAACGGACGCGGGGAGCAATTGTCTAATGTCACTCACCTATTGACAAAGCAATCATTTGTTTATTGGGGTTGGGCTGGATTTTCATGCCGTCCACAATGGCTCTGATGGGGTTTAAAGTTCTCTTGGACATTTCGGAGGCTCTGATGTTCCACCTGGGAATGCGGCTCTTCAGCTTCGCTGGGCAGAAGCTCCCGTTCACGCTGACGTGATGCACGCCGTTCCCGTTCATCTGGATCACGTAGGATTCGTTCTCCATGTCTGCAGCACCTACACCGGGGACAAAATAGCTCAGCAAGCCTGCAGGGAACAGCGTCAAAAACCTGGAGCAAATTAAACAGGTACAGTAGATGCTGCAATTTGGGCTTGAGAAAATTTGCTGTTACAGTTAATATTTCCTATTCCCTGAAGGTCCACAAATCTAAAACCTATATATATATAACTTTTCTGGCGAAAAGCCCCCTGTCCGTCTCTAGTAATTATGAATTACTGCTTATGAATGAAATAGTTTTTTTTTTAAGAAATCGACCGGAAAAGCTGAACTTCTGTACACTTTCTGTGCACAAGCACTGAAAATCGCATTGTAAGTGAACCTCTACTAACTAACCTGCATCGAAATCTGTGAGCACTAAACAACCATCCCCGCATCAATGAGAACGCATGCTTTGCGCAAATTAATATGAATGTGAATGTTTCCCATTCATTATCAGAAAACTACACATTTCTGAAAAGGATCAAGTATTGTAATGGCTATTAAACTTTCTGCCCCCGGCAGTTTAATCAAGAATAGGGTGAAAGTATTTCAATATCTTTCTAATGTCTAATGATCACACTGACAAATGCCAATTTTACAGGTATTGAGCTACACTTAATATATATATAACAACAGATCTTAGAAAATGAAAAAAAAAATACCTTACAGAAGGATGACAGAGTTCTTTATCCACGAACTTGATTGATTTTTAAATTATTTTTATATCGGAATGGTTAAAATTGCTTTAGCCTGTTGCTATATATCGTCCACAAAAATGGGCGTCGAAACGAGCCCATTTCTTTCATTGGTGCTGACTTAGGGCTGTACCCTACACCCTTGTTACATCATTCCAGAAATGTAAAACTTTTGGAACAGGGCACGTTCCTTAACCCTTTGTATGTTCTGCCTCTTACAGCCCGGAAAGCCGCGTGCTGGAACCCCCAAGACTCACCGAGCCGCGCCCCCGGTTTCTTCCTGCGCTTTAAGCACATCGTGTTCCGAAAACATACTGCAGTTAAACGCTCAAAACACATAATCCGCCCCGTCTATCGTGCTCTTGGCGACTCTTATTTCGTGAATTACCTAGGCTAAAGCAAACCCATTCTTATTCTGTTTGCATACGAAGCATTTCTTCTTTGACTAAGTTTTCTCTGAAAAAAAAAAAGGATTGTTTTAATCTAGTCCTAATTGTGAAAGGGGGGCGGTTATGTTAAACATGAAAGACTACAACGGTGAGCAGTTTTCATCAATTCATAGAAATATTCGAAAGACAATCTCCGATAAAGCACTACGTATCAGTTATTTTTTTGCAATGTATTATTTGCATTTGAACGTGCCAGAATGGTTAGGTACCATTGATTGGCTCTCAACAAAGTGTCAACGTTATTAAAGGGGTAACATTTTCTTTATCGTGGTCATTTCATCTAGTACCAAAAAATCACTTATTTCCCTCGCCTAAACGTCCCCAGTCCCTATGCTTTAACCGGTGATTAACCTCGCTGAGCAGCTCGGAGCCTGTCAAATGAGGAGCTGCTCTATGGGCGGTGGGGTTGTCGGAGAGCCATTTTACCTCTTGGTGCAGTCCAGGGGTTGTTGCCGATATCATAGGCATAAACAAACAACAGCCGATTCCAAATTAAACAAAATACATCTCAAAACAAGAGTGGGGAAAAGCGAAATAGTTACAAAGTGTATCCAAACACCATGCCAAGAGTAAACATCACAGTTTTTACTTTGTCATTCTACTCCTCGGCACGTAGGGGGTCAGCGACCTTATGCTGCGTCATTAAATACCTTTCCACTTGTGGAAAACATCATTCGAAAGCTCTAGAAACCTCTTCACTTCAAAGCGGTCTATTTACGCTGAGATATGGCGCAGCAATAGCCAGTTATCAGTTTACCCTTTGATACTGTATTAGACCCCCTCGGGGGAAAAAAAAACTTTTTCGCACACATACGGTACTGTGCATTTTCAATCTAACCGCGGTCTCCAAATCTCCAAACACCTGCTCCTGGAGAGCAGTAATCCAGTTAATTTTAATAGGCTGCCTGACATATCTTGTTTCCAAACAATGGGAACACGTGTAAGAATTTGATTAATGGAGCAAACTGTTGAATTCAGAGGGCTTCGTTTATCGAGGGGTAAAGACTGCTCAGATAATTGGTCCCAAATGATCTTTAAACAAATTATCTGCTTAGTGCATGACTCTGAAACTCTTCACGTCTTCTGAAATTGCTTCTTTAATTGTGACCTGTTAACACCTGCTGGATGGAGCTCTTCAGGGCCTGAGTTGGAGACCCACAACGTACAGGATAAGACATTTTCAGGTAAGAGTCCGTGCTCTCCAGGCTCTTACAGTTAAAGTAAGATATTGGTCTTACTGCTCATTGTTACCACTCATTGCCACGGTGGTCTCAGGGGTGGTGAGGCTTTGCTGCTACAGAACCTTGAGGATGTGTCCTACATGTGTAACAGACGGGGTAGAAGAAGCCTGGACCTCTTGTAGTAGAACACTCTGTTCTGAAAAACAAACAGCCTTCACCGCAGCAACACGTGAAGAGTTAAACATTACTCTTGTCCCTACTGAGCCAGCTTGTCTTCTTCTGTGAGGGCGTTTGGTTCCTGAGGATAACTGATTCCTGCATGAAATGCATAGGAGTCTCCGGAAACACAGCTGTGGTCTCTGAGAGCCCAGGGACATTGTGAATCTCTGTCTAACTCTGCCTTTAGATCTTCTAACAGGGGTCCAAAGAAGCTGAAAAGGTGCCAGCGACCTTGGTATCCTGTTGATGGTGGATCTGGGGCTTAATCCAGCCTCCAAAAAACTTCTACCTTGATGGCTAAGACAACTAAGAGCCAATTGTAATGAAACGCTTGGACTATATAATCATGATGATGATGTTGCCTAAGAAATATCTGCCCACAAATGTATTATTTATCCAGTCACCAGCACTTGAACTGTAAGTGCTACTGCAGGCATCAGAAATCCCATCTCAATACAATCAGTCAAGAATCGATTACAGGAACCAGAAATTGGACCTGAAGACAACTAGTTGTTTTCATCCCTCCGTTAAATGGTATGCTGATACAAACAACTACTGTTTTCTTACAAGTGTTCATATATACAGGTTTAGCTATGTTCTGTCAAATATGACCTGCTACCCAACTCTTGTTAAATGCAACATAAGCAAAGGTTAACGCCGGCAAATCTTGCTTTGTCTTTGGTGGATGTTCAGTGCATTACAGGAGGTCATACGTTATGTCACAGGGCAGCAACGTTTACATGAAACGAGTATTACGCAGTACATCTACAGGCGTCTATACCATTCACAAACATCAGAACTGGTGACCTCGTTTCAGACACAGAATGCTGACTCCACATGGAATAAAAACAGGCTTTCCTTATTTACCCTGTATGAATAAAGATATAACTGCAACTTGTCTTCACTCTTAAGGAATACTTTTATTAAAAGAAGATGTGAATAAACCTATCATATTACAAAGGCTGAAGTTAGCAAATATTTCCACAAAAAAATATCTAGTCCTGTCAGATGACAGATGATGCTACCTTTAAAGTCAAAGAGTCAGGACATGAAAGGAAATCCAAAATAAAGTTGGAAAAACATCTATGTTTTAGAAATACGCACTGTCTCTAACAAGAACAACAATAATTCTATTACCACGTGCTTCAAAATACTTGAAATCTGAACACCCCTTTAATCAGGTGAACTGTAAATGGGTAAAAATAACGGAATTGCATGATGGGGAGGATGATGAGGATGTACAGTACAGTCACAGCATCCAAAACATGACTTAAGCAAAAGAGGTATTTTATTTGGTTGGGGACAATGTTTTTCCAAGGAAAGATAAAACTTTTTACTCTTCTAGCGACTTGTTAAGCTGCCATTTACTTGTGCTTTCTGTTAGGACAAATCCTACTGGCAGCAGTGTCAAAGGCTCCCTGCTATCAACAGAAAATTCGCCACAGGCTTGTGTGACTGGACAGTACAAGCCTGTAGCCTGGAGCTCAAGAATTAGATCCAATTTTGTTCAATAGATGGTTTAAACAAACATTTAAGTCAATAAATGACATTAAAAAGCTTATGAATAACAGCACATACGACAGCACAACATACGATCTAGCCACTGGATGACAATGTAGTTTTGCTTTAAAGGGGCTCATTTTTAGAAACAGGTAAAAAGGACAATAACTTTAATATAGCTAAATAAATTATTTATGTACATGGACCATAAATAAAAACCACACACCTAAATATATTTACAATGTACAACAACTGCAATTCAATGTTCCCTGAATCTAACTTCTTGACAATGTTGAAGGTTTTGGTGTCTTACAACATCCTAGAGACTGCTGTACAAAATATTCAGAGAAAGCAAAACAAACCTGAGTAAAAAAAAAATAAAGAGTGGTGTACAGAAAAGTCCATTAACAAGAAATAAACCAAATGTTAAATGCCAGTAACTCCTGGAAGTACTGTTTTTCTGTATTCCTATATTGAAGTTAGCTCCTGCGATATTATGGGGGAACAAACTGACATCATTCTGATTCATCAGAAAGGTTTTTCTTCCTCTTGTTGTTGGTTCTGTGACACCTGGTGCTCCTCTTCCTCTTGAATGGTACATAATCGGAGTCATTGATGTCCGTTTCAGAGGACTCATTAGGGGAACTCAGAAAGCTCGTCCAAGAGTCTTGACTCCACAGAGCCTGAACTACATTTACCTTTGTATCTTGCTGTCTGTGAAGGGCTTGCTGTGGTTGTGCTTTGTGGTTAGCCCTTAGCCTAGTGCTTCTCCTCAGTGGAGAACCTCCTGGGAAAGCCTGACTACATTGAGACCGCACGTCCTCAGAGAACTTCCTGACTTTTCTGTGACTCTCCTCCTCCTCCTCCTCCTCCTCGGAGCTGGACATGTGTAAGGACTGGTCTGCAGTTGAAAACCCAAGCTTGTCCACCTTCAGCTTAGTCAACAAGACGACGGGCTGCAGTCTGACTGGAGTCTGCCACAGTGATGCGTGACTCTCGACAGATGACCTTACCCCACTGTAGACCTGACCCTTCCTGTCACAGCCTTCCTCCTCCTTCCCACTCACCTTACAGCTGGAGATGAGGTTTGGAATGTCCCGTTTGACCCCATCCGTACCACTGCACTGCTTCCATAACTGTGGATCCAGCTCTGGTGCTGTAGCAAATACCTCTGTACTGTTGTTCAGCCTGAGCAAGGGGTGTTGGTTTTCTATAACCACCTGGTCTCCGGGATTGTTTGTCTTTGCTGTGCTTTCCTGTAGTTGGTTTGATTTTGTTCTCTTGCTACACACTTCCTCTTGCATGTTCCTGATGGACGCAGAACAGTCCTCAGCTGATAAAGATTCCTTAGTTTCACTTTCCTTGGACGTCAATCTAAGATCGGTATATTCACACGCTTTATTTAACTGGCTCAGTTGCTGAGACTGTAAGGGATCTGGAGGAGACTGTGTCTCTTCTAACTCTTCGGAGGTGGAGTCCATCTGTAGAGCACAAAATACCGGGGCTCCCTGGTTGGCAGCTAAGATACCTGTAGGAGATTGTGGACTCTGCAATTTTCTTGTTTCTGTCTCTCTTTGCTCAAGGACTGAGTCTTCCTCATCCCTGTCTTGTCCGACATTCACCAGAAAACAAGTTTTAAGATCCCCAAGGCAAATCAGCTCCACAGAATTACTGTTCTCACTGGTCATCGATGTAGTGTCTTGTTCTGGTTTGTTGGCCTTGGAAGTCCCATCACCACCCTTTTCAGTACAGTCTGGAGTCTCTTCAGTTTCATAAACTCCTGCCTCTTTGAAATCTAGCTCAAACCTCTCCAGTTTAAGAGGAGGTATGACTTCTGGCTCCATATTTGTTTCTGATGAAGATGCCTGGATTTTATCCTCCAGCACTCTCTGCTCCGGTGGAGTCGGATCCCCTGTTTTGGAGAGATCCCTGCAGGGCTCAAGATTAAACCTCTGACAGGTGCACTGATCCGGAGGCCCTGTTGTGTCTGGCTCTGACCTCTCAAAAGCTGGCTGTGCATCCTGGTCCTTGTCTGGGTTGGGCTGCGGGCCGAAGCTGAAATCTATCTCATTGCTGTTGTAGAACTGCTCCTGGTTCACTGCTTCCAGTTCGATTTCAGCATTCCTATCATGACCTGAAGTCGCGTTTCCCTCACAGAGAGCTGCTCTCAGATCTGGTTCCTGTTTGCTGCTGTGATTAGGAAAGGACTCTGAAGGGAAAAGAAAAACATTAATTAAATTAAACCTTAATATTCTAAC